TTCTAACGATAATCATATTGACATTGCAGATCTTGAGGTTAATAACAGATGTTCATTAAGTCATATCTATTTGAATTTCGACTCATAATGAAAATGAAAAAATTACAATTTTTTACTGTATAATAAAAAAATGTTATAAAATTATTATACCATAAAACACAACCATAGTCCAGTGCAGTCTAAATTTCAAAATTGAATTTGACTTGCAAAACGGAGTTTTAAAAATCAAAAATTAACGCATAAAGGTGGATTCAATTTGCACTCCGTTTTTAATTGTTTCTATAGTTGACACCGCAATTATTTATTTTGTGGCAGTATTAGTTAATAATAAATAATAGTATGTTAGAAAAATATAGATCTAGTAAATTGGAATTTCTGCGAAGCGGATCAGTGCGGACACTATTTGTTAGAGCGCTCGCAATTTTCTCGTGTTTTTAACTCAATATCTCAGTTGCGGACTAGATAAAATTTTGAAATTTATCTATCATTCTAAAAGTTGCACATATATTGTTAAATACGGCTGTTTTAATTTCAACATTTGAAATTTGACTTAAAAATGTGTTTTAAAAACGGTGAATTCAGAGATAATGCTTTGATTGAGCACCGTTTTTCAGTGTTCTGATAGTTGAGTACGAAATTGATTTATTTTGTTCTAGTAAAGTACATACATGTTAGAAAATATCGCTAGTAAGATTGAATTTCTGCGAAGGAGGATCCAGTGGTCTGGACACATTTGGTTTAGAGCGCTCGCAGTTTTTCGTGTTTTTAAGACTGCAAATATCTCAGGTTGCGCGACCGTATATAAAATGGTTTGAAATTATTACATGTGAGAAGTTCACTATGATATTAATCTGGCATTATTAATTTTCAACTTTAACTTTCACTCTAAACTATGTTTTAAAAATCAGAAAATATGAGTGAAAAGTGTTCATTGCACCCCCCGTTTTTAATTGTTTATAGTTGAGAATACAAAAATTTTTTAATTTGTAGAAAATTAGTACATAATTATTAGATAATGTTGCTAGTTTGATTTTATTTATGAGAAGTGGGGAGGCTAACTTAACTGTCAAGCTTGGACCCCCCACTTTTTGGTATGAGATTTTTCTTGTTTATAGTCGAGTACAAAATTTTAATTGTGTAGAAAATTAGTACATAATTAGATACAAAATTATAGGCTAGTTAATTTTGAATTTCGAACAAGTGGGGGTTCCAGCTTGACGGAGGTGGACTGAAGCGTAGATAGCCGTCCGCGAACGTTGCAGAAATTTGTTTTGGAAATTTTGGACAGTGGGTTCGAGAGACACGTACGGACAAAATACGCGCGAGTTCTCCAGTGCGGTGCGAGGAACATTCGCACGCGGGCATAAATAGAAACGAGGGGGCAAAACAGACGAGGACGGAAGGTGCCGGAAGCACAAGACCGGAAGACGACCGGAGGGCAGCCAGGGACCTGCGGCCAGGGGCCCACCAGCGGCGGCGCGGGGGCGGGAGGCGAACTCCGTCCACGCAGAGGCCGGAGCGCGTCAAGGTCAAGCATTGGGGCTCGGAGAACCCTGCGACGGGGGGTAACGGAGCGCAAAAGTTAGGTAACGTCACGACGATCAAGAACAACTTGTTAGCCAGGAAATCGTGAGGAAAATAAGCAAACGGGAGGCATCTGAATTTCATTCAAAGCACTATTGCCTACTAAAACTGTAAATAGATCATTATTCTTATGTTGTTCGCAGCCACAGCGAAATTGTTGTACAGAGAGTAGTGCATCTTAACACGTTTTATGGAAGTAACGTTATTTAAAGGGAATGTTAAATTTTGTATTTTGTCAGTGTTTACTAAAAATAGGACTTGTAACAAATTTAATTAATCAGATTAATAAAGGGAAGTCCCATTGTCTGATTACTTTAACAAGTAATTTTTACTTAATGAAAAATGGTTTATAATTTTTTGTGTTTCATTGTTATTTGGTGTGCTTTTAGTGAGCGACAAAGAGGGTTTTAAGTTTATTAAACCCAGTTTAACTGATTACAAGCACGCAAGAGCACGAAAATCACCTGTTGGGGCAGATTTCGTGCTCTTGCGAGCTTGTAATTAGTTAAACTGGGTTTAATAATCTTAAAACCCTCTTCGTCGCTTACAAAAATCACATCAAATAACAATGAAAAAAACTGAGACCCCTTTTTCAATAAGTAAAAATTACTCACTAAACTGATCACTCTAATAATCTCTGGATTCCTTATTTCTCTAAATTATATATATATATATATAATAGATAGATATATAATATAGATAGATAGATAGATAGATAGATAGATATTTTGTGACCCGATCGGGTTCCTTAAACAAATCATTAATTACGGCAGTAATTCAAAAGATGCGCGCAAAACCAAGCGGCGCCGCAAACCCGGCCCGGGAGAGGCGAGAAGTCCGGTAGTATGGAGGAGAAGGTAGTAGCTCAGCCACCGTGGAGGGCAGGCGAGTGTATGAGAAATGGAGGAGAGGATATAGTATCAAAAACGGTAAGAGTCGGAATAAGGGCAACGAATAGGATTACCAAGAGTATCAGGTGGTGAACATGATGGACAATTACGAACTAAATGTGGAATGAATAAATATGGTAACGACAGTGCAGTATATTGAAATGAGTGAGCGCGGGTAATTAATAACTACCACGTGGAAATCACAACAGTGTAAGTGTACGAAAGAGGCAATGGCGGTGGATGGTGTGATGGCATAATTATTTGGATCTGTTTACAACCGTCGAAACTGGTAATTATGTCGCGAGGCGTGGGGCATCAAGAGAGAACGTCGTCTTCAGCATTGCGAGGTCAGCGTCGGCGTGGGACGTGGCGGCGGGAGCTCTCTCCTGGGGCAGCGCCGAGCAGCGCCGAGCAGCGCCGAGCAGTGCCGAGCGCCACCGAGCGAAGCCGAGGTTCCCGGGAAGACCGTTGCGGAAGAACAACGCTGGAGCCGGCTCGGACCGTCAATTATTTATGTAGTATTATGATGGGAGTGAAATCCAGGTGGAGGTTCCTCGTAGAAATAGGATCAGTATAGAGGTTTCACGTATTAGTGTGGGAAGATGTGGAAGGAACCTCCTTATGGTAATTAAGTTGACATATTTGTAATGATTTGGCTGGCTGGCTTATAATTTCCATATAGGAAGCATGCGATTGAAAGGGTAAAGAAAGAAAAAATAAAGGTAATCAGAATAGTTGGCGATGATCACCCAAAAGATGTTCCATGTAATTTCAGTAATATTTTTCCTGTTGTTTTTCTTCAAAGAGGTGTTTCTTTTTAATGCATTACAAGTGCATGCAACTAATAAAATCGCTCCGCCTGAAACAGATTCCCTGTCCCATCTTAATTATTTCATCTATGTGATAAAACTATGTGTGATCATCAGTTCACCTATGTGCTGACAGACCACGTCAAGGGATGTTCTAGGAAGAGTACGGTCATTATATATGAGGATATAGGTATTAGCCAATACAGTACAATAGAGAAATTTAAAAAAATTGTTATTACGTGATTTAAAAGAGGCACTTTTTAATTTTCAAGAATACTATCATTTCTCATTAGATGGTGAACTAAATAATGAAACATTAACATTATTAGAAACAACTGGATGTGATGTTCAAAATATAACTTTTAGAACACGAGATCAAAAATGAAAATAAAAATATAATAAAATGGTATTATAGTCATGTAAACAGAGAAATGTTAGATTGAGCACAAACTGATCATTCATTAAATGGTCAAATTACACAAGTTAGAAGTCGAACAAAATATTGTGTCACCGGATATTATATCTAATAAACGGGGTAATCATAATTGACAAAAATCTTCAGGTATGTAAACGAATAAATTTAATGTAAAATTGGAATTTTAGCACATGCAGCATTTCCAAATACAAATAATACACCGCTTGAAATTCACATTGATATGGTATTTAGAAATGGATAAAAAGACACCAAAAGAACGGGTAAATTTATATTCCGTATTACTGCACGAAATAGGTCATGCTGAAGGTATGCACATGATCAAAATGCTATTATGAATGCATTTTATAAACGGTTAATTAGACTAAATGGAGATTATATCTTGGCTATTCAAAGCTTGTACGGAAAAAATAAGACCAACATCATCAAATAAACCATGAAATGTACAACAACTATGTAACAATTGAAGTGTTAATAATTTTCTTGTAATTGATATTATATAATTTTTTTATGAACGGGTTTGGATAGTAAACATTAAAACATGACAAAGAAATATACCACAATTAATAAGAGATTGATTAACATGCTTACCACAACATTTTAATAGTATTACTTCAATTTACCAAAGAAAAGTATAATATCCCATGATATATTTTTTCAGACCAAAAATATTATATTGTTTAATACCCAATTTCAAATTAACTACTAAATTACCCAAAACGAATAAGCGAAAGGGGTTTATTACGGAATTCTAAAATACATGCAATTGTGAATTTTAATGCAGGAAAAACGTATATATTTTATAATGAAGTTTATTATGCAGAAATCGAATGTAATCTAAAAAAGAAACATTTTGGCACATCTCGAGATTTTTACGGAATTCCAGTTTCCATGGATTCAACATTTAAGTACACAAAAAGTAGAATTTATTTCTTTTCAAAATAAAATTTACTATGAATGTAATGAATTTATAAATACTCTTGTAAAAAACTGAAATGCTTAATATTTCTTTATTTAATGTTAACTGATTCGAAAATAAATCCAATCATTCTAAAAAAAAATAGAAACTTAAAGAAAAGAATAAAAGAACTAGAAAAGTTATTTTAGGCAATTTAAGAGATGAATATGTGATTTTATAGTTTTTCGATATTACACTCGATATTCTATTGTTATAAAAGAACCCTTTATTTTCTAAATATTTTTAGAGTTCTCACCCTGATGTATAAATATTAATATATCAGTATGGTATTTCTACGTTTATTTGAATGAATGAAATTTTTTTAACTGTTGGATTACTAAGTATACTTTCATGAATTAGAGATTTTTTTGGTATATTGTTTCTTTTATATATTGATTTATTGAATAACTACTAAATATACTATCAAGAATTGGTAATTTTATATTTTTATATATTGGATCACTACTGAATATACTATCATCAAATAAAAATATTTAATGTATTTTTATTTTATATTTTTATCTATTGGATTACTTCTAAATATGTTCTAAAATTATCTTTGTAAAAAATTAATCTCTTTAATTTCATGATGTCAAGAATTACTTGTTTCAAGGTTTTATAAGATTTTTGATGAGGGACATAGAATGTGATCCCATATCCCCTTAATATATACTACTTGAAAGCTATTAGTCCACGAGTGTGATTAAGGAGTCGAGGGAGGAACGAGCTAGTGTCGTAAACTTCACACGATTAATAAGTATTAATACTTATTAGATCGAGTTTCATACGGTACTTTTTCTAAGACTTATGGTAACTATTACAAGTTAATCTTTTCCATTGAATCGTTTCGTGGCAGTGGACTGGTAGGTTTCCTCCGCGGCCACCTAGCGTCGAACTCTCTACTCCAGCCTGCCGCAGGTGGCTTTTTGTTTTACCCCTGCGCTAGACAAAATAGGATCAAAAATAGGACCATTCAATTTATTTCAAATAATAGTCCACGTAATATTACTACTAATAAATAAAATTAAAACTAGCAAACATAATAAAGTACTAAATGTAATTTTAATGTACACTATCCAACGAAGCATTTACTTGATAGATTATCAATGATTGATTATATATCAATACATATCAAATATCAGAATTATGCAATGGGAGAAGATACGATTATTCATATTCTAAGAAAACAACAAAATTAAACCCAGTGATGCAATATTAAAAGCCGAAGCAAGTGGCAGGAGTGAGTGTTGAGGCGCATACCGTTCTTACCGTTGAGCACGTGCACGGCCACGGTGACTGCGGCCAGGCTGCCCACGGCGCACGTGTAGTTGCCCGAGTGGGCGCGGAGGGCGCGCGCCACCGTCAGCGTGGACACCACCGCCCCCGCCGCCGCGCTGGCGTTCACGCTGCGCACACCACACAGCATTTGCATTTGCCACACGTCTCATGCCCTTCAAGTGGCTCTCGCCACTGCGGTTTCCAAGGTATTTTCTAGTTAGTGGTGCTTCAAGATACAAAATGCACTTGATTGCCGGTGAAATGGTTTTCAGAAGGAATTTTAATTTGTTTTCTCACCATTTTTCAAATCTATCTAAGCTTTTAATATCGAATTTACCGTCATTGTCGCTTATGGATATAAAGACATCAAATATTGTTCTTTTGACTAACGAAATCTTGAACGATCTGCTACGCATAACTGCGCACTCAAGGGTTTTCAATTATTTTTCGCAGAGGAGCGCTCAACTTCTCGAAGGTCATTATTTAATGTTTGGTGTATGCACGCACGCATGCATGCATGCACACGAACGGCGCAAGACGCTCTCTGCCATCAGCACGCACACAGCAGCGGTGCCAACACAGTCGTCTTTTCTCTACAGAAGCCACTCATCATTACGCCTCATTCATTATATTGATGTTGTTAGTGATTCCGGACGTGTCAACTACTAGGGCCATTACTCCCGTAAACGTCGTGTATGTTTTTCCGGAGGTAGCGGTGGTCTGCCCTGCTGCACGGGGAGACACGGCGCCGACCTACCGTCGGCTAGTGGAGTTTTCCCCAACCAAGCATCTCCCACCAGCGAGGCACCGCTCCAGCCCACACAGCCCGCTCCCAACCGGTCTCCCGGCATGTGTTGTAGTGCAGTACGAGTTAATGTGTGTGTAAGGGGTGACGATAGGACAAGGAAGGTTTAGGAAAGATCGCATGCGGTCCGTGGCTCGTTTCTTAGGGTACTGCTGCGGCATTCGCCTGGTATTGATCGGAGAAACCATGGAAAACAGCTGATCAGAGCAGCCAGCCGCTACAATTCTCTTCCAGACAGCAACTGAATTCGTCCTAGCTCACCGAATACTGTCGAAAATCCCGCCACCGTCGGCACTCGAACCTAGGACCTACTGGTCAGTGGAACTGTAGTAACATGAGTTGACACCCTTAGCGATCACTCCCCGACATTCATTATGTTGTTTCAATCACTATGGCCATTATTCCTGTATTGTGCATATTATATCTTGGGATGTGTCGGTGTTCTTCTCGTGCTGGAATGTGCGTCGCTCTCCAGGTATCTCCGTTATTAAGAGCATCAGCCCGCACAAGCTGGTTTCACAAGTCACGTACTATAGAGCAAGGAAGTGTGCGTGTGTTTCGGTATGTACGTGAGGAGAGGAAGAAGGAAAAAGATGAAAAGGGAAAGTTTATTTGCGGTCTGTGACCAATTTGTCTACGTTCCCCTCTGAGATTGCCCTGCTGTTTTTCCTAGAACACATTGGAAACGCACGGATCGTTGCTTCCGGCCGCGAGTATTGTAAATGTGCGTTAGACAGTAATGGGTAGTGAAAGGAAATCTATCTCCTAAAAAATCTTGAAATTTACTTTTAAAAATATGCATATTTGACATAAAAATTCTGAAATATGCACTTTCATATAAAATTAAAATTGACGGTACTTCATTTTTTCTATACAAATTTCTTGATAAAATTCAGAAGAAACATACGTAGAATTTATATATATATATATATATATATATATATATATATATATATATATATATATATATATTTCTGCAAACATAAAAGAACATACCGTACTTTTCGGGCGAAATATTGTTCTTAGTGAAGTAATTTTTATTTCTTATTCTATTTCTTCTGTCAGGTTTAAAAGTGATTATAAATTGCCTTTATTTGCACAAGTATTTTATCATCTAACATAACACCGCACGCAGTCCTCCTGAAGAAAACATTCACAAGGTCACTCTGCCGTTTATCAAGAACATCACAGACCCTTTTGGCAAGATTCTAAAACACCACAACATGAAGACCATTTTCACCCCCACCACTCAGCTCCGCAATCTCTTTAGAGCATCCAAAGACCGTAGGAACACAATAAGGCCAGCAGGCGACTACACTATGCACTGTTCCTGTGGCTCCGTGTACACAGGCACAATACAGCGTTCAGCCAACTCTCGCCTCACCGAACATAAACGAAATTGCCGCCAGCCAGCCGCCGCCCCGCACACCGCGCCCGCGACCGTGCCGCCACTGGGGATGTCCACCGCAGACGCCCTTCAATGCCAACTGGACCACGGCCTACCAGACCCTAGTTCGGTAATACTTTTTACTTTCCAGTATACGTACGTACATACGGAGTAATATACGAAGTGTAGGGAAAATTATGAAATGCTGCGGTAAATGACTTTTCAACGGGAATACACGGTATGAGGCTCCCTCATACCAAAAAAGTCGTTACATTCAAAATGTTCGTCTGTCTGTCTGTGAACACTATTAGCTACTAACCTATATTGAAGAAATGTCTACCTAGCTTAAGTCAAAACTTTGAAATTTTGAAAAACCTTTTTCAAAATGTGGGTACTTCACATGAATTCAAAATTTTCGGGCTATTTTCAAAATTTTCCCAAAAACCTCTCTAATTTTTTTTCTTTAACCATCGTGTAAGAATAAAGTAACATATACTTTAAAACGTGACATAGGACCAATTTCCACGGTTAACTCTGAATTTTCGAAAATTTCAAAAGTATGAATTTTTTCGGTGTCTTCCTACAACAAAATGAAATATAGAGATTTTCCCTTCAAATACAATTTAATCTCCGTAGTGAATTCTTTCATTAAGGTCTTGTACTGTTTTGAAAATTGTAGTGCAATATTGCGTGCAATTAAAAAAAATATTTCGATTTTTCAAAAATTACCAAAATGTAATGTTTTGACTTGTCTCTCATACTGTGTATTTATATTAGCGGAATTTGTTTACATTATTGTATTTTTGAGTGCATGTACTGTAAATAATGTCATAAGTTTCTCGATAACTAAATATTTTCTGCGCGAACTAGCTCAAAATTTCGCCTTTTCAGAAAAGCTCAAATGCCACTTTCTCAAAAAATGGCTTGGCTCAAAAATTTTTCTTCAAACTTTTCGAATATCTTTTTGTTCTTTTAAATATTACACAAATAAAATATTTTTGAAAGATCTCTAAAGCCAGTAATATGCTTATTTCCAACAATGTGTAAAAACTTATGGATTTGTGAGTTAAAGTGCTTAAACGACTCAATTGAACTTTTTCGAAATCTTAAACATTTTTTGTGAAAAAAATGTTTCAAATGTTGAATTTACAGAAGCGGTTAAACGCCTGTGTTTTATAAACGCCTCCAAATTTTTCAAAGAAAAGTGCCATTTAGGACGAAGTTTTACTGTTCTTTAATAAATTTAAAATAATATTTCCACTCAATATTTAGGAAGCCGAAAAATTAAAGAAATGTCAAAAAATGTACTTTGGGCCGCGATAGATGGCAGCAAGCTAGAATATGTGGGAAGTACAAGTGGCTAGCGGAGGCGAAATAAAAGGAAACCAATACGGGAAAGTATGAATTTCGGTTTCAAATTCCAGGGTCTGCGACATCAACTGAATCGACTGGGGAGTATCAATTTTTGAGAGAATCGGCTGAACAGTTTATATGCTAGCGTTGTGCACAGACGGACGCACTGACAGACGTTTTGCCGTTCATCGATTTTTCTTTATAAAGAACCCACAAAACATGGATTCTGACTACTCCACGTGTTAGAAGATTATTTTTCTAAATTTAGCAACAGGATTTATCCACTTTTTCCTTACCCGGCAATTAAAGATTTTGTGACGAAAAGTTGCCGTTTTCCGACGCACGATTACAATACATGCGTAAGTGCGAGAATATAAAAAGTAAATTGTGTCAAGCTTTTTCGAATTAATGAACGCTCACAAATTGACAGTTTCTATGAAAACATAATACTTTTTATCGTGTGATCACACAAATTGAGAGATTATTTAATATGAAATTATAAGCAGTTTTTGCTAATTTACTTCGACATTACGTAACATAAAGAAACGCGTCGTTCTTTGGGTGTGGGGCGCGCCGTTCGCAGGGCAGCCAAGGCCCTTTCCCCCCTCCAGCCCAAGCGAAGAGTCGAGACGCGAATTATGTTTCCAGTGACAGAAATCAAGTTTTTTAAAAGTATTTTATTACAATAAGTCGTACAGCAGTGATATAACTTGTTAAATATGAATGAAAGTTGATTCAGACATCGAGGAGCAGTGAGCAGCGTCTGAGAACAATGCTGTGAGAGCTACTTGTTCCCGTTTATATACAATTGCCATGTTGTTCACTAGAAGATCACAAACAAGATTTCTCTTCTATCGTTTCTAGTAAACATTCTGGATGCATTGATTAACCGTTAGCCAAGGATGTAACTCGCGTGCCCGCACTGCCCCGCCGCTCCCGCTTCTCCTTCCCCCTCGACCCCCACGACTTCCGGACGGGCGTGGACGGCGCTGAGAGTGCCCGACTGCGATGGCAGCATTGTGACTTGCACACACAGAGCGTCGTCATCGGCTCAGAGGCTTCCTCAGCGTTTTTGAGGTGCACTAGGAAAACGTCCACTCGCACAGTCGAGACGCCGCAGTTGAACACACATAAAACAAAAATGCGCCATTGTTTTGACCATTCACTGCGCGTAACTAAAGGCAAGCCGAACAAGAACTTAGACACTCGGCAAGGGAGCTTAGAAGCAAAAAGCAGGTAAGACTCGATTGCCGAGTTGTGCGGATCATGGGGAGAAAGATTGCGCTGTGCGCAGGGTGATTGTGCAATTCGGACCTTGTGATGTTTAACCGAATTGGAGATGGAGCGAGAGGGCATTCCTTAGTGCGATTGATCTTGGACGTTGGTAGCGGTCGGAGCTCGGGGCGCGCTGTGGCAAGCACTAGTGTTTAATGTGCAGGTGAAGGCTGGTCTGCTGGTGCGATCACGTACCCACGTGTTTTACTTTTGATAGCCAAGCTTGTTGCTTTTCGCCACCATAAAGTGCTTACCGTTATTGACGAAACGTTAATTATTCAAAACCTGCCGTCATAATTAAAGACAGATCGATGAAGACTTCAATAATGACTTTCCTGTGACGTGTGGTGTGGATCTGGAATCGACCACGCACCGCAGTCTGTGGTGAATGGCCGTCATCGCAGGGGCCCCGACAAAAGACCACTCCGGCCATGTCTTTTCTCCGACCTGTCTCCCCGCGGCGGAAAACAGGCGACGGGTAAGCGAACGCCCCCGCAGCATGCCCCTTCCGCCGCCCAGCGATGCGGCGAAGTCTCTCGGTAATGAACCCTGCAAAGATTTAATAAACAGCTCTTTAAGCGACTTAGGGAAACAAAAGGCTCTTGATCACTGCTACAGTGGCTCACGTTAATATTCGGACAGCCACAAATACAGGCGTTTCTTGTTTGACTGTAATTTTTCGCACGTACGCGGAAGTTACATGTGAGGAAATGCATAGGCATTGTATTATGTATTATTAGAAAACAGAATAATTCAAATAAAAAATGTTATGGTGCATAAAATACGTTTCATAAACACGGATTTGTGTTAATATGCAAGAATACGAAGTCACATTCATATTCGGACACGTAATGCAAAATGCCCTGTTAATCCCTGGCCACTCTCCCAGATAGCGCGAAAGCGCACAATGCAATCAGGCGCTGTAAACATTTCCGCCTGGAAACACCTCTTGCAAAGGGGCGCAAGGGAAAGAACTCGACGTTCGGGCAGAGACAGCTTGTGCTTTTCCACCACTCGCTCCTGCAGGGCGATCACGATCTTTGACTCATGATCACGAGCACGGTGCACGATATCTTTAAGAGATTTGAGAAAGAAGACAGAATTGAATCTAAACCGCAACAAGGACAACGTAAGAAGATCTGCGAAAGAGAGCAGCGTGCAATTTTGAAGAACTTCCGAAGGTGAGCGCCGTCCAACTGACAGCGCAACTGCGCGAAGCGGCAGGGACATCTGTGCACCTCGAGACAGTGCGCCGAGTAATTAGAAATGCCGGATTTCATGGCAGAGCGACCAGGACGAAAACCTTTATCGGTGCTGGGAATAGAGCTAATCAATTTCACTTTGCAAAGGAAACAAGTTTGCAAGAAAGCATGTGACAAAATCAGAGGAGTGGAGGCGTGATATATTCATTTGTAGATGAGAAAAAGTTTAATATTTTTGGCAGTAACGGTAGGAAAATGATATGGCGCAAACCAAATACAGAATTGCCTGAAAAACCTAGTGTCAACTGTGGATAAAATTTGGAAGGATAAAATTTGAGAAAAAAACTGGTACCAATTTTTAGTAAATAATTGTTTAACATTTTTAATAGCTTATTTTAACACAAAATTGCGCGCATAACAACTCATATTTTCGAAAAATTTGTCCTTTTTTCAAGATGTCTTAAAAAATAAAGAATCTCAGTCTTTAATATTGCAGTTGTAGGAAGACGCCGAAAACATTTGATCTTTAGTAATTTTTAAAATATTAGCATTTTCATCAAAATCAGACCTGCAATATTTAAGCGTATCTTACGCTAACCGAGTAAAACATTTAATCAAAGAATTCGGGGTAATTCTTGAGAAAATGTTAAGGCTTCAGTATTATGTACCCCCGAAAATCAAAATATATGTTTCAAAGTCGCAAAACTTATTCGTTTAGATTAATCGGAGAATATCAATTCTGGAGAAAATCTGCTGAAAGGATCTATCATTGATCTGGCGGTAGCGTTGACAACAAACATTTTGACATTGTTTATTCGGTGTCAAGGACTCGCTCAACGTGAATTCTTGGCATACAATATTAGAGAAACAATAGAAAGAATATTTATCCACTTTTTCGTCAGCAGGGCCCAGTTATAAGAGTTTTTCTGCCAAAAAACAGGGTTTCTATGTTTTCTATTATAATACTTCATCTCCTTACGAATGAAGGCAAAAATTTAAACGGAAGAGAATTGAACATGTAGAAAATGCTAATGTGAAGTGATTTATAATTGTTTAATACGTGAAATGGGAGTAACAATTTTTATGGCTTTATCTATTTTTTCGATACCAGGGCTTCGCCCCAGGACTGCTAACCAAAATAAGTTTAGCCAAGTAATAGTTTCTCTGTCGAAAATTTGCCGTTTTCATAACTGCATTTCTTAATCATTTCAAACCGAAGACGTGGTTCAGTGCATGAACTGATGTCACTGAAATGCCTCTAACCGGGGAGTCGTAGGTGCGAGTCCTGACAGTGGCAAGATTTGCGACACTAGCTTAGCCGCAGACCGTAGTCAGTCGCTGTCTGCAGGACATTTAAAGAGGCTGTCTGCTCTGATCGTTTTTTCGTGGTTTCTCCGATCAACATCAGGTGAATGCTGGAACAGTACCCTAAAAAACGGGCCACAGACCGCACGCATCTCACGTTCCTCTTGCTTGTCCGTCATCACCCCGTACACACACACAACCACACCCACTGCCGGGAGCTTAGTGCTTGTTCCGGCTGGGGCAGTGGGAGGCGGTTGAGGGAGACCCTGCTAGCCGACGGTATGTCGGCGCCAGATCTTTCCATTCAGCGAGGAAAGATAACAGCCATCTCCACAGGAATAAAGCATGCACTACACTTACGGGACTAGTGACCTTAGCCGTTGACGCGCCTGGAATCACTAACAAACAAGCAATGAAGGTCAACTGCTAACCAAAACTGGGGGTGGAAGGTGGCTACCTGACGCCCCGGTCCAGCACGCTGTCGCCGTGTCGCCACACAAGCGGGTCGCCCGTGTCCTCCAGCTGCGAGGCGATGCACGTGAGCTCGACGGCGCTGCCAGCCTTGTAGTAGCGCTCCGACACCTCGTGCCCGCTCTCGTCCACCACTGACACCTCCGGCGCTGCAACACACATTTGCATTCACAACTAGCTATCTACTTTTGGTTTTAAAGCCATGGTAACAGTGAGTAGATGAAATGTTACGGTGACGATGGGAGTCCCAATATGTCTCTCTACTTGACAGCTGGGGGAGGTGGAGCGATGTTGCCACTTCCTTGGGCGGCAGATTCGTGGCTGTGAGGTTGTTCTTGCGTTAGATCACAACGGTAGCAAGTAACAAACCGCAATACGAGCACGCAGCCCTAGACGACACAGAACAGCATATACGATGCATAACCAAAGAAATAAAGGCGCTCTTAAACTTGCCATTGCTTCGCGCTATGAGATTTCAGTTTTTTCTTAATAAGCATTGGCAACTCTTAAGTGACATCGTCACACTTTCAAGCCTCTGATTGCACAACGGAATCCCCTCTCCTCGGCCAACCTAGAGCTGTCAAGGTGACAAGTATTGTTCGTAGTATACTGCTCGCGGGCACTGCGCCCAGAGAAATTGGTGCGAGATGATGATGATGATGATGATGATGAAGGTTTAAGGGCGCTTCAACAACTAAGATCATTGACGCCCGTGTTAAACTACTTACTTTAAGAGCAGTTCGCACTGTGACAGTGCCAAACTAAAACATTTTTTAAACAAAGTAAAATGTAAGTGAAACTGAAAATGAAAGTGTTCAATTATAACAGGGTTTAGTAGAAAATAGACAGATGAACACTTTAAAATCTAACGCGAGATTTAAAATTAAGGGCTGTACAAGTTGCTACGGACTGTCTACAGGTCACTGGATTCCTGGTTTACGACAGTCATTGGGAGAAGTTACTTGACAGTTATTGTCACAATTTTTTCTTTAAAGCAAAGAAACGAAACATTAAAATGAAATAATACATCACTGCGATTTAAAATTCTCAATTGACAGTAAAATTTTAAAAAAATATAAATCATGAGTCTCTAAATTTTGTAATCCTGGTTACTTAAAAGTTATATAAAAAGCTTGAACTTTCTACTTTTGGTTAGAAAGTTTAACAAATCTTCTTCTTGCCGTTTTCTTAACCGCTACTTCGGTCATCCCTGTTCTTACAGGAATCAGGAAGTAATTTCCACTTCTCGATGATCTTTCTGATCTGATCGTTCCATCCTGGTCTTGGTCTGCCTCGTTTTCTCCTTTCACTTGGTTGCCATTCTAGGGATCTTCTGGATAGTCTTCTCTCGTCCATTCGCTGTACATGTCCAAACCACGTGAGTTGTTTCTTTTCAATTTCCTCTATAATATCATGTTATAGGTGTTGTGGTAAGATATCTTTGGCATTTTTAAAATAATTAAAGATGTTGTCATTGCCAACAATATTTTTTAATTCAATAGCAGCTTTCGATGGCTTAGCCATCATCATCAGTTGTCTGCTAGATGGAAGCCACAAACGACCCGTCGTTTTGTGGCTTACATCTAGCAGACAACTGATGATGATGGCTAAGCCATCGAAAGCTGCTATTGAATTAAAAAATATTGGCAAAATTGTTGGCAATGACAACATCTTTAATTAATATCATGTTGCTGATGCTATATTTCATTAACCTGTTCATTCATAATTCTTTACCTTTCAGATATTGTTGCTGATCTTCTGAGGAAATCCTTTTCCAGAGCTCTCAATTTTCTTTTCTGTTGATCTTGAAGCCTGCCACATGTCTGCTGGAGCACTGTATGGATGCAGCGTAGAACTCAATCATACATTTACATATTGTAATTTTCGTTTTCTTGTTTATATTTGGATCCCAGATCACTGGTTTCAGTGCTCCTAAAGTTTTGCTTTCTTTGCCCAGTCGGGTTTTATATTCCTTTCCGTATA